CCCAGGCACCGTATTTCCTCGGCGATCCACAATCTCCACATCAAGCGGATCGATCCGTGCTGAAACACCTCGGGGCGTATCAAATCCCCGAGACAACACGGCGCCTACAGGGGGTACAACTCGTTCACAGCACACCTCCAGAAGTGGAACACGTACACCCGTTAACACACACACACGTACTGGCATGTGGGTGTGCACAAACACACTGAACGCCCCACAACTCAGGTAATGCACGTTTTTGAGAAAGATCCAGGGCCACAGAGGTTCAGAGAACAACATTATTTGGTAACGACAGAGCCAAAGCCTTCGAGCAAGAGGGAAGACGCTGTTTCAACATTTTGGGTTATCTATCAGGGACAGGACATGCAGCCCTTCAGAAACAAAGGCTTTACCCGCATGTCAGAAACCTTTGTTAGACTAGGACATACTTCAAGAGTTATCATCTCAGATACCACCCTCGAGACACAAAGCCTGGTCTTTCCTTCCCCACCTCCACATCCTGCCCGAGAGCACACCCTGGTGACCACACACACGCAGCAAACACTCGGCTCCTCTCCCCTGGCAGCTCCGGCCTTTCAGCACCATCTAGAGGCAAAATCCGCAGCCAGCTTTTAAATCCATGAGTTCCTAAGAACCGAGTGCACCGGCAGAGACCAGAACATCGAACCAAAGAGGAGTCGGAGCGGCCCCTTTCCCCTTCCCACACTCCGCTCACCTCCATAAGACACAGCAGCTGAATCTTCTGCAGCAGAAGCGCCTCGTTTGCGGCCAGATCTGGCTGTAAGAGGATACAACGGAACAAGTCAGTCCATTCCTCCTTCCCCCCACCTCCTTGTCGGGGCAGAACAGCTCGCTACACGCAGGAGTAAGCCCCTGGGGACCCACTACCTCATTTGGGAGGGAGGAGGCCGCTGCAACCCACCCACTGCCCGGTAACGGTTCCATGAACCAAATCCAAGAAGTGCACAGTTACACCAGCACGTCCATCAAGCAGCAACCCTTTACCAAAGGCCACAGCCTCGCACAAGTGGACCTGTAAATTCCTGCTAGGACAGTAATTCCTGGCACAGCCCGTGTAACATCTAACACCACCGTTTTCCTCAAACTCCTCAAGCACAAGGGAAAACCAGTCTTTCACACTGGACGCCGTTTAATGCTGGGAGTGAGTGGCATCAAGGACACTAAACGAGGGGTTCTCCTCCTGTGCAGGAGTGCGTGACGGCTTTGTTTGCTTTCCCCTCGGATCACAAAAGGTTTCTCTTTACTTCTTTCAACCATCCAGACACAGAGGGAGGCCAAAAGGAAACTAACGACACGTATCAAGATGAAAGAAACGTTATTATGCCGTGATTAAAACTACACCAGTGCACCAGAGCCAGGAATTCTCAAAGTGAAGGTCCACAGAATCCACCCAGCCTCCAGCAGCGCGGCGACTCGTTCCCTCACCTGCTGACCCCACGCCGACTTCAAAGCCTGAAACGTCTCTACGTTCCCGCTGTTGAAGGCGTAGAGCGTGTCAATCAGCCACTGCCGATCCGTGCTTCTCAGGGACTCCAGAACAGGGTGCATGAGCTGCAGGAACCAGGCAGGACAGGGTTAAGGTACAACCAATTCCTGGCACTCGCACAAGTGAAGCGATGCAGCGTCACTTACCAGCTCCCCAAAGTTATAAACACCTTCTCCCAAGAGCCCTGCCAGCCCCAGGGTAAAGGCTCTCTCCTGCTGCTCTGACACTGGGGAAAAAAAAAAAAAGACAAAAACCACACAAAACAACAAAAACAGTTTGGATGAAGCAGCAGTCTAAGCCCCACCAACCCCTCCCTCACCTTGCTCTCTGTGCCTGCATTAAATCCCTCCCAGCCCTCCTCATCCTTGCCCAAGGCTGAAATTGAATTGCCACAGCAGTGGCACAACAGGGCCACTTCTGGAATCTGTAGTGAAGATTTTCGGGAACCAGAACAAACTATCCCTTCTGGTGGGGGCGCTTCCCTCCTCCCGTCACCTCAAGGGAGGTTAGGAGGAGATTCCTGCTCAGCCATTCTTCTGGGTTCCTCCTCTTCCTAGCTAGACCCTGCCCCAACCACGGCAGATTCAAAACAACACTGAGAAAACCCGTTCTCTCCCAGTGCACTTCGACTGAAGTGACAAAACTGAGAACGTGACCTCCTGTGCTCGGCAAAGGAGGGCTTACCCGGCAAGTCTTTGACATCAATGCATCCCAGAAAGCGCAGAGCGTCCTTGTAGTACGAGGCGTGGTTGCCAATCGTCTGGTAGTACTTGCTGGAGAGGTCGTAGAAGCGGCTGTGAACCGAAGTCACCCCGGGGAGGTTGTTCAGCATCTCCTCGACCTCCTCAATGGTCTCCTAGGGAGGGTGGAGACCTGTTTGTGACAGTGGAGGGACCCCTCGCGTACACGCGGCCCCCCCCCTGCCAGTTCACCACCGTAAGGGCTACGGAATTGGTGTGTGGCCCACAAGGAACCCCCGCTCACTCCTAAAGCGGACGAGACCACCACCACCACAGCGTTACAGATAAAGCAACAGCTTTACACGGTAGTTGGGCAAAACCCAAACCAAACCCAAATCCAACCCTGCAGCTGTACTGACACACCTACACACACGTTCAAACTTTGTACTTGCTCCAAGAGACATAAAGCTGCACCGCACGAAATAAAAAACCTCCTCTGAGGTTTGAGAGATGGCTCTAAGGAAAGCCAGGAGATGCAATAACAACTCGCTCCGCACAGAAAGCGGCACACGAACTCGGCTGTTCGTTCCCGAGACCCCCTACGCTGCGAACTCAAACACATCCCGGTGTTTTTCCCTCCCTCTGCTCTCGCATGCCAACTGCTGCGGCGACCCTGCAGGCCACCAGCAAGCAGCAGCCCCCCAAAAGCTGCCCGCACCAGAACCTCACCGAGACCTCAGAGGTTTGGCCCCAAGTCCTGCCCGTGCCTTTTCACAGCCCGCAAGACGCAGGGCAGAACCGGGGGTCTTCCTGGAGACCCCAGGGGCTGCACGTTTCATAGATTTCTAGGTTGGAAAAGACCTTAGAGATCATCCAGTCCAACCGTCCCTAATCCCCATTAAACCATATCGCTAAGTAGCTCATCCACCCTATTCTTAAACACATCCAGGGATGGGGACTCAACCACCTCCCTGGGCAGCCTATTCCAGTGGCTGACAACCCTTTCAGAGAAGAAATACTTCCTAACATCCAACCTGAATCTCCCCTGACTAAGCTTTGTCACCTTCTCCTTCAGAACCAGAGCACGGACGCGGGCAGGTCCGTGCTGCAGCAGCTGAGCTCATCACGGCGCCCCCCAACACCCGGGCGCTGGCGCTGCTCGAGCCACCACCTCACCTTGGTGACCTGCAGGTCCCCGATGTTCAGCTTGAGCGCCCCGATGGCCGTTTTGCACAGAATGACAGCTTCGTCGCTGCTCTTCACCTGCAGGCACACGGAGACGTGCGTTCAGAGAGCGCGACCCCCGCAGCCAGGCAGCTCCTGAAGCTCGCGCCGTGCCGGCCGCGTTTGCCGGCGCGTCCCGGCGTTAAAACACGAGCTGTTCACTGAGGGGAGC